AAGTGTGTATTGCACCACGTCAACTAGCCCGTGTTTTTTACTGAAGTGTGTGTGGTACCACGTGAAGAAGCCCGTGTTTTTTACTGAAGTGTGTATGGCACCACGTGAAGAAACCCATGTTTTGTACTGAAGTGTGTATGGCACCACGTGAAGAAACCCGTGTTTTTTACTGAAGTGTGTATGGCACCACGTCAGCTAGCCGGTGACTTTTACTGGATTGATTAGAAGAAAGAACTACACTGTTGAATCTTGTTTCAAACAGATGAGCCAAATTGTACTCAACATCAACAGCAGATTGCGAGTCCAGCGCCCTAACCACCTGGCCATGCCGGGCCTTTAGTGTAGAAGGTTGAGAAAAAGCAGCTGTGGACTGATTTAGGTTTTAAGGAAATTTATGAGATCGTGAGATGCAACGGGTTGACTTGGCAAACATTTAATATTTCATTGAATCAGAATGTCAGTATCTACTTTAAGACTAACTATAAATGACCTTAATATACTGAGTGACTCTAAGTTATACAAATCAATTGTAAAATATTTACATTTCAATTCTTTCAGTTTTTCTTTTATTGTTGCATGCTAGTAAGTGAATTGTAGGATTTTAAGATATTTTCGGAGACTGGAATTGTTATTTATTGCCACTTAAAAGTAACATTGACTTCAACCATCCTTTTTTTTAAACTACAACTGGATTAATTTTACGCCAATAAACTTTGTGTCTGATTTTCAACGGATCGTACTGTAAAACAATAGTTTTCTTTCCTTATTTAATAATGGCTCCTCCCACCCATTCGTAATAATCTAATAAGGCAAAATAATATTTCTGCTCACATTTTAATTACCTTTTAAAGGCACATAAATGTTTTTCTATGTTTCTCAGTTCAATTAATTAAATTCTAGAGATACCCGTGTATTTCCCGTGTCATTAAAGTACATGATTTGTGTTATTTATTGAATCAGGAGACTTTATAAAGATCATCTTTGGTTTACACAAAGGAATTTAAAAAAAACAACAACAAACGAAATACAAAACAAAATAGAAATTGGAATTTTTCACCATGGAGGCACAAACCCTAAATAGTATCCATTAACTCTTCACCATGGAGACACAAACCCTAAATAGTATCCATTAACTCTTCATCATGGAGACACAAACCCTAAATAGTATCCATTAACTCTTCACCATGGAAACACAAACCCTAAATAGTATCCATTAACTCTTCACCATGGAGACACAAACTCTAAATAGTATCCATTAATTCTTCATCATGGAAACACAAACCCTAATTAGTATCCATTAACTCTTCATCATGGATACACAAACCCTAAATAGTATCCATTAACTCTTCACCATGGAGACACAAACTCTAAATAGTATCCATTAATTCTTCATCATGGAGACACAAACCCTAATTAGTATCCATTAACTCTTCACCATGGAGACACAAACTCTAAATAGTATCCATTAATTCTTCACCATGGAGACACAAACCCTAAAAAGTATCCATTAACTCTTCACCATGGAGACACAAACT